GTGAGGTTCGTTTCGGGCCTGCTGTGGGCCTGGTTTTCGGGGCTGGTTTTGGGGCCGCCGCTCAAGTTGGTCTTGGGGAGCGCGGTCAGGCTGGTTTTGTGCCGCGGTTAGGCTGGTTCTGGGTCTGCTCTGGGCCTGGTTTGGGCCTGGTTTGGGCCTGGTTTGGAGCTGGTTTCGGGGCTGGTTCGGGGCCGCGGTCAAGCTGGTCTTGAGGGCGCGGTCAGGCTGATTAGTCTTGTGCCGTGCTCAGGCTGGTTCCGGGTTCGTCGTTTGCTCTGGGCCTGGTTTGGGGGTGGTTTGGGGCCGTGCTCAAGCTGATTTGGAGGCGCAGTCAGGCTTGTCTTGTTCCGTGGTTAGGCTTGGCAGGCAGCCCGGTGTAGCTGGAGCGCTTTCTTTTGAAGTTACGTTCCAAGTGCTGTCAGACATGTGGCCTTGCTGGCAACAGGGGCGTTGTAGGGTTGCAAGCCTCATCGCTGCATGCCCGACCCCGCTTACTCTCAAACATGAGTTCTAACCCTTTCTATTGTCTTTTTGGCGCAGGCGCTGGTGACGGACGCTCCCATCCCAAAAGTCGGGGCCCTTGTCGACCGCCTGAGAGCCAAGGGGGACGCCGAAGAGGCGGCCGCACGAGAGAAGCGGCTGAAAAGGTATGGGCGCGTACATCCCCTTGGTGCTCCCCGTCGGACGAGGGGTGCCATGGCCTACACCATGGACCAGGACCCGAGCCCGTCTTCCCCTCTGCCCTCGGTCGGCCTCCCTTTCCGGGAAGAAGACCCCGCCTTGAGCGCAGCGCAGCCCCCCACAGCAGCCCCCTCTTCACCGGTCGTGGAAGATGAACGGGCCCCGCCGTCGCCGCCGGCTGACCAGTCCCCCGTAGACGAGGATCCGGGTTCGGTTTCCCTCTCGCAGCCCCATGAGCCCCCCTCTCCCACCGGGCACCCACCCTCTCCCCCCCTTGCTGACCAGCTCCAGGAGCCCCTGGTCGCAGCCCCGCCCCCTGTCGGAGATGCACAGCCCGAGGTGGTCCCCGGTCAGCCCCCAGCAGCCGCCCCTTCCCCTTCTCCCACCCACCAGGAGCAGGCGCCCGTCGACCAGGCGCTTGCGCCCGACCTGCCAAACCAGCCCCCGGCAACGGACACAAGTCAGCCCACTGCAACTGGGCCGTCCGCAGAGCCGTCGTCCGCACCTCCGCCCATGGAGCCGCCCGCGCGGCTGCTAAGGGAGCCCCCTCAGGCTGCGTTGAATGGAGATAGTGGGCCCGGCTGGTGCAAAAAGCTGGAGGAGGCGCTACAGCAACGGCGGGCAAACGGGCGTGCAATCGTGGTAGCGGAGGATGTGCACGAGGGGGGGGCAAAGCGCTACGGCAGCTTGAAGGATGTCGCGGCCTTGGTCGCGCACCGGAGGTCGCTCGGGCCGTTCGCGCACCTGTACGAGGTCATCCAGGACGATGCATGCTGGCGCATCTACTTCGACCTGGACTTTTCGCTCCCAACCGAGGACCCGAGCGACTTCGAACGGCGCCTGGAGGCTTTCCACCTGGTCAGAAACCGTTTTCTAACCTCGGTGCTGAACGTTCCCGAGGGTGCGCTCCGCTTCCAAGCTTGCGAGGCGCACGGTCAGCGCGGCCCCCGAAGCAAGAGTTCAAGTACAGCGTGCACGAGGTGCTGGAGGGGTTCTGCCTGAGGGGGCTGGAAGCCAGGAGGGCATTCGGGAAAGCTTTTGGGTGCTTCTTGGAGAATCCCCCGGACGACCTAAAGCCGAGCATCGAGCTCTTGCGGAAGGACGGCGGATCCGCCTACATCTGGGACGGGTCCGTCTACGGGCAACATCGCTGCTTCCGAATGCTCAGGTCCTCCAAGTTCGGGGACCATCTTCGCGCCCTCGTCCCCTGCGAGGGCAGCTCCGAGGCGATCGCTGACCAGCTTGTTTGTCTTTACACGGAAGCGGAGCTGGCTGGTTCCACCGAGATCAGCGCCGACCTTCTCAGAGAGTGGGCGACCGCGCGGCGCGACCCTCCTGCCCCGGCCCGCGTGGGGGCCTTCCGGCAGAGGGCGCTCGCCCTCGACGAGGCGAACACCTCGGAGGGGCCCGGCGAGGACCTGAGCGCGCAAGAGCGGGCCGTCCTCCTCGCCCAGCTACCAGGAGGACCACGCAGGGGCCGAGGTCGACCGGGTGGTGCAGGAGCGGCCGGGGCTGTTCTTCGTCCACTTTCGCGCGCCTCAGCCCACGTGTTGCATCGCGGGCAGGCGCCACACGTCCCCAGGCAACCAAAACCCGTACCTGATCTACAAGCGAGACGAGCCGCGCATCGCCCGCTACCAGTGCTTTGCCAACAGCTGCAGGTAAGGCGCCCTTGTAGTGAGCCGAAATCTGAAAAGCGCCCAGCATGGCTCGGTCGACAATCTGCACTGGTCGCTCTTTACATGCGAGTTTAGAAGGTGGTGCAGATTGTCGACTCTTTCAAGGTTGACCGGCTCAGCAAATTGGAGAAGCATCAAGCATGGCTGTGGGCTGTCAATTTGCACAAGGGTCTAAACACCGAAGCCTCTTAAACCAATGCAGATTGTCAAGCTCTTTGAAAGCTTCTCTGAAACTGGTCTTAGCAGTTTCAGAGAAGCACCAAGCATGGCTCGGCCGTCAATTTGCACAGGCCATTCTTTACATTCATGCTTGTAAGTCGGTGCAATTTGTCAAGCTCTTCGAGTTGGATCGGCTCTGGATCGGCTCTGTACTTCAGGAAAGCGCACCGCTTGGTTCGGCCGTCAATCTGCACAGGCCGTTCTTTACATTCACTCTTGTAAGTCGGTGCAATTTATCAGGCTCTTTAAGTTGGATCGGCTTTGTACTTCAGGACGGCATGTTTTGGTCGTCGATATGCACAGGTCGTTCTTCACATTGAAACTTAGATGGTACTATTCTCAAGGCCAGGGTCAGGTTTCAGGCATTTTCAAGGCCACGGTGAGGCTGCTTTTGCTACGCTGTGGGCCTGGTTGCGGGTCTGCTGTGGGCTTAGGTTCAAGGCTGCGGTCAGGCTGGTTGGGGGGGCGCGGTCGCGCTTTTTTTGAGGCGCGGTGAGGCTGAATCGGGAAGGCTGTAGTCAGGCTGTAGTCAAGCTTCTGCGGGCCTCGTTCGAAGCCGGAATCCGGCTAGGTTAAGGGCCTTGGTCAAGCTCTCTTGAGGGCGCATCAGACTGGATTCGGCCGACTGGTCTGACTGACATTTCGATACCTCGCATGGTGTAAGGTGCTTGGGCTGTTGTTGAGAGCGCCTCTTGTTCCCTCTTTGCAGGGGCGAGTGCCGCGTGCTACCCCTGGACATCCTCACCACGCTGGGATGGACGGAGGACTACGAGGAGAACCTGGGAATGCGCTCCTACCCCGCGTTCAAGTTCGCTCACGTGTGCAAGCGAACCATCCTGATTTCGGCCAAGAAGGGGGTCGGAAAGTCGAAGGAGTTCATCGCGTGGCTGGAGGCCAGTTGAACCCCGGCCTCTCCTTCGTCCTGATCGGGGCTAACATCTCGCTGTCCCGCAAGTACCATGAGGATCTGGTGGAGGCGGGCGTGGAAGGCGTGGTGCTGTACCTGGAGGCGCCCCCGGGGCCAATCGCCGCCTCTCGTGCCGTCATCTGCATCAACTCCATTCACCGCGTGCGCG